AGTAGCTAATTATAGAAAGGATACTATTTCTAGATATCTTTAGTAAATCTGTTACTTAAGGACTTTCTATATATTTTTAATTAGGTTAAGATTAGGTAAGTATAGCGGCTAATCTACTAAAGTGACCCTGTTCTTATAAGCTTATTTATAAAGCTATTCTTAGACTATTTAGGCTATATAAGTAGATACGTTATCTTAAGTAAATGTTATTCTTAGCTTAGTAATTATTAGTAATATTTCTTATAGGTAGGTAAGAATAATCTAGCTTATAACACCTCCTTAGGTAGATTTAGGGTCTCTAGATAGTAGTGTTAAAGACGTTTAATTTCTTCTTAAAAAGCCCTCCTAAAACATCTAACTATAGTAAGTAGGCTTCTCTTATAGGTAAATATTCTCCTATTAAAGTCTTTTGTCCTAAGTAGTTAGTATTATTAATATATAAGGGTATAAAGTAGGCATACTTTTTAGTAAAATACCTACTTACCTTCTTCCTTATTACTATAGGTAATTAAGGCCTTATTAAAGAATATCTAATGTTACTAATAAGCAGGAGGCTTTCTTATATATACTCTTATAAAGGCTAGACGTTTTCTAGCTACCTAGGTAGAGAGCTTTAGCTGTTATAAGGCTTAATAGTGTTAGATACCTTAATCCTTAAGGTACTATACTAATATCTACTTTAAATAAGGGAGAGAAGCACGCTTAATAATCTCTTAAGTAAACAAGAAAAGGTCTTAATTAAGGATTTAAAAGATATACCTTTTATGCCTATTTATAAGTAGAGGGGGCTGGCTAGACTAATATTAACTTTAAGCAGAGGTCTAGACTTTATACTGTTTAACAATCTTATATATAGAGTGCCTTAAACAGCCCTCTTTCTTAGCAATCTGCTTATAAGGCATACCTAATTCCTAGGCATTTCAAATCCTCATTCGTTTATAAGGTGAAAACTCCTTTCTAGTGGTTTTATCTGCCATTTTTGTTTGTCGGCGAGGGATATTGAAGAGTAGTAGGTGTTGACGCGTGTGCAAAATCGCGTCGCGAGGTGGGGATTGAGCTACACTTTTGCTACCCCACTGTAGGTAGGTAGCATAGGTAGGTAGCTACCTAGACACCCAGCACCATGCCACTAGCAGCGATGAGCCAACGGCGCCAGACTGGCTCAAGCGCTGCCGATAATTTCAACCGTCAGGAAAGCTAGAAAAGCCCAATACAACTAGACTTGTCTTGGCCCCCTCCCCCTCCCCCGGCATACTCAACGTCATTGACTGGGCTATCTGCCACCGCTAACATGAACATTGATATCCGTATAATGGGCTCATTTCGTATTGTGACCAAGACTTGGTTCGAGAGGTTACTACAGCAGCAGCAGCATGGTCAGTGCAATCCGTCGACGTATTTGACCAGCTTCGGGTGCATCGCATGATATACGAGCCAGCGAGCGTAGCACAACCTCCATTTCGGTGACTCAGTTGTCCGTTGTGCGGCAGCTTGTGCTGTGTACGGATACTGTACAGGTACGGATACTTATTTGCCGGCTACGTTGCGATCGGTCCCTGCTAGCCCTGCAGTACCGACCCAGATCTTGCTGCGCCCCAACACCACAGATGTCGATGTCGTCTTCATCTGCTTATCAGACATCTACCCGGTGTTCCACTCTAGCCATTCGAAGAGCCCGCCTCCGGAGATGATACCTATTCTGCAAGACCTTGTCCTATGTGGGCTACCTGAGAGACCTCCGAGTGTAACCATTTCTATTTTAGTGCCTGGCCTTCATCCAGAGAATCGGGATGCCTTCCCTCACCCAGTTCTGTTCGTCAAATGGACCATGTCCGGCCGGGAACATCTGCCGTACGCACGCCATAAGCAATGAGCAGCGCGTTGCCGAATGAGGGGGGCGGCGCAACGCCAACGACACCCCGCCCATTGATCTTTCGCGTGTATTCGCTTTTTTTTTTTTTTTTTCCCTTTCAAGACGACTGACGAGGCGCATGGGGATAACGGCCACGAGGCTTCGCTTTGCTTTGCTTTGCTTACTACGTAGGACTCGAGGAGTCATGACCGTGCGCCTGGGCATAATCTGCACATGGGAGATGAAGTTTTTGCGAGTACGGATATATGCGCAGAAAAGGGGCTCAGTCGTTGTAGGGGGAGCTTGACCCGAAGGCCGTAACGTAACCATGTCTTAGACTCTCCCCTGCAGTCACAAGAACCACAAAACCCGACACTCGAATGCCGCGGTTGCTCGGTTTGTCGAGGTCCATGACGATTTACGAGGCACAGCGTGGCTCGGTCCCTTCGTCGCATCATGTACCCCAGTAGATACTATCTGCATGATAAACAACGTAGTACTGTATTGGACGACTTTGGGGTGGTCAACGTCGGGTCCTGGCAGCCACGTGCGATGCCGGCCGTGACGACTGATGAGATGAATGGGGATACCGGCCTGCCCCTGCATTATCCGGCGAGGGGCGGGGTTTTCCCGTCTCTTTTATCTATGTTTTATCTTGTTCCTTTGCTGTCTTCCCCATGCGCACTAGCCGCTGCTTCTCCCCTGCCTTTTCTCATCAAACTAAATCAGGGTCCCTCGTCACGGCCGTAGGCAAAAGAAATGAAAGAGAGAAAGAAAGAAAGAAAGAAGAAAGAAAAAGTTGCCGAGGAACCTGGTAAGAAGCACACGCGTGTCGCAACAGCAACACTTGCATGCGGGCCGGGCTGCTTCGCCTGTCAGTTTCCACATCCACCCACCCCAACACCGACCTGAACCTCCCCCCTCCATCTCTGCGACGGCACAATTTCATTCTCGCTCGCTAAACCACGACACAGCCTCACGGCAGGGTCGACTCGAGTCAGAACACGTCTGTCCGCCGAAGGGAACCGCAAAGATGTGGATGCAGCCGGAAGCCGCGTCCCGGTGACGAGCTTGATCCCTCGAGGCGTGCGTATCTCCTGCATACGATGGGTTCGTTCGCGTTGACGACTGGCGCGTACGGCTTTCCCGTTCAGCCCAGTAGCCTGGCTCTGGAAACCCGGCCAATCATGGCTTTGCACTAATCGAATCCGAAGGCACCGGCGAGAGCGGTCCGTCACTTTTGAGGACTCGTCGCCCTGATTCCTCATTAAAGATGGGGTGCGCCACCACTCAATATTCCAATATCCTCCTCATGGTAGTCGAGATGACAAAATCACTGTCAGCGGAAGAGACTGGGGTTGCTTTCGCCATTTTCAGTGAGTGCTGTGGAAATACGCTGCCTCGGTGGCCGCCTATGGTTGGAAGTAATAGTCAGTCTAGGCCTGCAGCATGCAATGACTGTGACCAGGGCTTGAGGTTCAGCCGGGCATCAAGACTCGCCGGAGCAGTCCCTTCGCGTGGCTCTCCCCAAAAAACGACACTCTCGTGGGCGAAACCTGTGTTGGCCTAGTCCCTTGATTCACTGCATCTGTCCACACGAAAGTTGATGCATGCCGTCGCACGTGTGGGAATGGCGTCTTCGGGCGCCTGCTGGCACTTGGGAAGCAGTGAACTAGCAAACTCCTCCTCCTGGGCCTTGCCTCAACGCCAACACTTATACGGCGAACACCTTGTCGTGTCGCTGTCTCGGCTTCGTCCGCGGGTTATCCGCCTCTGAATACGCTTGCAGCCACCAAGCACCGGCAGCCTCGTTTGCCCGCTCGCCAGCCAGAACTGGCGTGGAAGGTGGGCGGCCGAAGAGGACTTTCGCTGCTCCAACCCTCGCCAAACATCATCGTCTGGGGGGGGGGGATAGGGCCAAGCCGGCACCGTACCGCTCGCCCCGTTACACTCGTCGCCGGCTCGAGCGACGCTCCAAACGCTAAGGCATGAAGATCTCCGAAGTTGCTGCAAGATGCTGTTTCCTGATTCGACTTGTACCTTCTCTCAAAAGATGTGGCTGTGCCTGGGTGATTACGACCTGCAGGCAGCCGACCTGTCAGCACGAAGCCCGGAGCTGACAGAGCATTCTTGTGTGTCCGGGACCTTGCACCTCCGGCTCACATGGACTCCTACGAACCGTTCACTTTTCGTCTCATCTGGTCTACATACATGGTTGGTATCCGTAGTATGCCGCCAATAGTGGCCTTGTCATCGAAAGGTATGCAAAGGTGCGCCACAACCAGGGCCTCGGGACCGCTCAGGTTCCGCATAGGCTAGACAAGAGGCAACTGGGAATGTTCGACAAGTCGTCAGACTTCCCTGCACGACGCTTTCGTGAAACGAGTGCCGTCGTTCCTGTTTGCTTTTTGGGCCATGCGAAAGTAGTGCGTTCGCCGGACTGAGACCCTTTGGACGTTGCTTTTCCCGAGTCAACCTTGAGGTCGTGGGCTTTTGCCCAATGTCGGCGAAAGAAAAGAAAAGCAAGGCCGCCGGCGTGAGTTCGATACGCTCCCGCTCTGTCTGCTTCGCGCTGAGCTGATCAAACCGACGATACAGCGTGCTGTGCAAATCCGTGGGAATTTGGCAATCCGAGCCGTCGGCGAGACTACACTTGAGTGTATTGAGGCTCACCTGGCTCGGCCGAAAGGGGGGAAAAGGGGGGGTGGTATTCTTGGATCCTGAGGTCGCACATGTCCCGAACACGACATCCACTGTATCTTGTCTCTGGGTCAGAGACAAGGTCTTGGGCCTACGCGACTCACCTCTCGCAGACATCAATGGCGTTTTGTTGTTAGACTGCCGCGACGGGTGGAAGCAGACACCGCAGCCGATGAGTCTGCTTGTGGTTGGGATCTCTCACCGTAGGCGTACGCCCGTCGAGGCTGTCTCCTGTCCTTTCCAATCCAGACTTCTCTCGACAAGCCAAGCCAGAATCTAGTCAATGTCATCCTCGAGACGCACTAGCCGATCGTTTGTCACGGAGTTGGCCTCACCTTCTCCCTTCTTTTGCCCCAAGGGAACGGCGGACCACGGCTCTGTGAGAATGGGGTCCAGGCACACAAAGTCTAATTCTGTCTATCGATTTACCTAGAGGAGCCTCCATTCCTCACGCCTTGAGACCCGGTACGAGGGCGTTGGAAACCTCCAAAGTGACGACACCATCCCTTTTTTCGACGACCCTCACGGAGTCGAGGTCTCTGACGATCCAGTCTGGCTCGGCGCTCGCAACCTGCTCAACGGTGTGGCTTGTGACGAGGCCCAGCACCTTGCATCCGGCTGCCTTGCCTGCTTTGATTCCAGCCGGGCTGTCCTCGAGCACGAGGATCTGCTTCGACGCATCCTGTAGGCCCAGCTTCTCACGGCCGATGAGGTAGCAGGTCGGGTCCGGCTTGCCGTTCTCCACAGACTCGGCCGTGACGAGATGCTCGGGCTGGGGCAACTTGAGGACGCCGAGCCATCCGCCGACGAGAGGCTCGGTTCCGGAGGTGACAATGGCCCAGGGCGCGTCCTCCTTGATCAGAGCGTCCAGCAGCGCCCTTGCTCCCGGGATCTCGATCGCGTCCTTTCCGTAGAGTTTCGGCAGGCGGCCCTCCATCTCGCGAGTATCTGCAGCAAGCACGTCAGCCAACTTCCGTCCCCCTTGAACCCCTTGCTTGTATTATGGGGGGTTGTCGAGTGAGAAACAGTGTCAAGCGATGAGAAACGGTAGCGACCGGCCGGTGAGTGAAGAGGGAAGCAAGGGGACGAACGACAAGAGATCCGAGCGCAACTCACACTCCCAGTTCGCCTTCTCAGGGGCCAGAATCTTCAAGATGTCGATGCTCCGGCGGCCGTGGGATGTTGCGAGGATCACCTCAGGCGCAACCCCTATTTCGTTGCCGACTCTGCAAGGGAGAGCGGTGTTAGTGAGTGGGGATGGGTTAGGAGACGGGCGGGGGGGGGGGGGGGGGGGGTGTCCTGATGCAAGGGACGCCGTCGACCGTGAGACCTTGGTAGTGAGGTTTGGATCGGTGGACATACGTGTGCCAGTGCTTCTCGACGGCCTCTGTTGAGTCGATGATGGTGCCGTCCATGTCAAAGAGGAAGCCATCGAAGGTGATGCGTTGTGGGGGGGCTGCGTACGACATGGTTGAAGTGTGGGTGACTGACGGCGGAGGTTTTAGCAGTTGTCTCCCTTTTGGGGGAGGTGAAAACACGATATTACCTGGCGAGAGTTGTGATCAGGTTGGCTTAGGTAAAGACGATTGATTAGGCGCCGGGGTATATCTCCGGGATGCGTTTCCTACTGAAAACTGTCTTCAAGTGCCTCTAATTGTATCGGATCCTTTGTGCGGATGAGAAAGCATGACTCGAAGCTGAAGTTGAGGCTGTGAGGCGACTGATGACTCTTGGGTGATCGCTGAGTCGGCAACGACGACCTTGGTAATCCGCCGCCGCCATGGCGAACCCGGGGACCCAACACCATCAGAGGCTCTTTTTCCAGGACAGGTTCCTCGTTATGCTGCGTCTCTGGCCCACTGGCTCCAGCGGCTCTCGCTCTCACCATGGAGGGGCTATCTTCGGTTGATGGCGGGGCTGCCGCAACGGGCTTAGATTCGGGCGGTGAGCGTTGGTAGTGGGGTCTGATAATGATATCGAGCGGTGTGGGGCGGCAGAACCCGCCCTCCCACTAAATTTTTGAAAGTTGCACTGCAAGACCGAGGCGCAGGAAAATTTACGGCAGTCGAGGTTAGCAGGAAGCATCCCTCCAAGTAATAAGAAAAAGTGCTCCCCAAGTCGCCCGGGTCAACTTCCAAGATGGCTGGCTCAATCAACAAACCCAAGAGTACGTCGTACTCCGCAGGAGGTTGACTGTCCCGTATTAACTGACAGCATCGCAGAGCCAAAGTCCAAGAGGACCCCCGTGCGCCTCCGCCACAAGATCGAAAAGGCGTCGGCGGCCAAGCAGAGGAAACAGAGAAAACTCGCCAAGCAGAACCCGGAATGGCGGTCCAAGCTCAAGAAGGATCCCGGCATCCCGAATCTGTTCCCCTACAAGGAAAAGATCCTTGAGGAGATTGAGGAGAAGAAGCTGCGGAAGCAGGAGGAGGCGCAGAAGCGCCGCGAGATGGCAAAGGCTGCCAAGACGGGCGGTGTCACCGAGGCTACGTCGACGGGCCAGGACGTCATGGCCGATGTTGAGGACGACGACATGATGTTTGACGACGACGACGTCGACGAGTCGAACCCCATGGCTGCCCTGCTGGCGAGTGCGAGGGCCGCTGCTGAGAGCTACGAGAAGGACCTCCGCGACGGCGGCGATGACGACGAGATGGACGACGACTCGGACGACTCGGACGCCGCGCCCGAAATCGCCGTCGGTAACGCCACCTCCCGCAAGGCGTTCGACAAGGTCTTCAAGAACGTCGTCGAGCAGGCCGACGTCATCCTTTACGTCCTCGACGCCCGCGATCCCGAGTCCACCCGCTCCCGCGACGTCGAACGTAGCGTCATGGCGGCCGCCAACGGTGGCAAGCGCCTCATCCTCGTCGTCAACAAGATCGACCTCGTGCCCCCCAAGGTCCTCAAAGACTGGCTCGTCCACCTGCGCCGCTACTTCCCGACCCTGCCCCTGCGCGCCTCCAACGCGGCCCCCAACGCCCAGACCTTCAACCACAAGGAGCTGACGGTGCAGAAGACGTCGGCCGACCTGTTCCGCGCCCTCAAGTCCTACGCCGCTAGCCGCCAGCTCAAGCGCGCCGTCTCAGTCGGCGTCATCGGCTATCCCAACGTCGGAAAGTCCTCCGTCATCAACGCCCTCCTCGGCCGCCTCAGCGGCGGCCGCGGCGCTTCCAAGGCGTGCCCCGCGGGCGCCGAGGCTGGCGTTACGACGAGCATCCGCGCCGTCAAGATCGACAGCAAGCTCACCCTCCTCGACTCCCCGGGTATCGTCTTCCCCTCGGCCAACAACAGCGCGACCTCCGGCCTGGTGTCGCTCAAGAACGCGACCGACGCCCACGCCCACCTCGTGCTGCTCAACGCTGTGCCCCCTAAGAACATCGAGGACCCCATCCCCGCCGTCACTCTTCTCCTGCGCCGGCTGTCTGCCACCCCTGATCTGCTGCAGAAGCTGACGGACGTTTACGACCTGCCCCCGCTACTGCCGAGCCGCGCCGATGGCGACATCACGACCGACTTCCTCGTCCAGGTCGCGCGGAAGCGCGGCCGCCTCGGCCGTGGCGGCATCCCCAACATCAACGCCGCCGCCATGACCGTCGTTACCGACTGGCGCGACGGCCGCATCCAGGGCTGGGTTGAGGCCCCCGTCCTGGCCGTGCAGGGCGATGGCGCTGCCGCTGCGGCGCCCGTCAGCGACGATGTCGGCGCGGCGGACCAGAAGACCATCGTCACGGAGTGGGCCCAGGAGTTCAAGCTTGACGGCCTGTGGGGTGACGATAGTGCTGCTGCTGCTTCCGCCGCCGGTGACGACGAGGCTATGGAGCAGTAAAAGACGATGAGAGAGGCGGGGGTATGGATGGTAATGAGTAGGAGGTGAAAGGGGGTTAGTACATGATATCAAAGAGAAGAAGTACTAGAGAGAGAGGTACACACGCATTCAGAGATGCCGTGGCTTTTATCATCATGCGCCTGACTGGGCGGGCTGCTTCAACGTTTTTTTTTTTTTTTTTGTTCTTAACGTCTTTTCATTTGCTCTGGCGTTTTGGGGCGGCCAAGGGAAAAATAAAAAAGAAGGGGGGGGCGACAATTTAGCCTGTTGTCCTCGTTCATACAAGCATATACACCTTTTACGAACTGCCCTTGGTTTCAGAACCCGTGCAAACTTGCAATGATGTGCGTGTGTGCATAGAGGTGATGTGAAATGCTGTTGGTTCACAGGACAAAGGTAAGTCATCACAAAGGAAACGATCGGGAGACGGGAGACAGGGCAGGATGATTTGATGGTCTATACGATCAACTTTTATTGAGATTTTGACTGTGCGCCTTGGTATTGTGCAATGCCCATGCCATGGAAACCGCCAGCCTGGTCGTCCCAAGAGCTGCTAATTTGCGTGTCGTATCGTGTATCCGTCGCGTTCAGGATGTTGTCGCTCTCGAGTAAAGATGGCGATGAGGCCCTACCTAGGTGCTATGAGCGCCTTAAATAAACAAGAATATGCTCTTTGGGGCGTGTTTTGTTACTTGCGCTCCTGGAGGAAGTTCTCATATGACGGATCAGGACCACCTGCCATATTGCTAGGCCTCAGTTTGTGCCACGGGAAAGTGATATTATCAGGGCCCAACCTAAGTGAAACCCCGGGACCCAGACTTGGGTCGATGGACATCAACCAGAAGTGTACGAGAAGATTGAAGCAGATTGTATCTTTGCCGACCTGCGTCTTCCCCTGCTTCTCTATCTGATTGTAACAGTATCGTTGCGCTGTTGAGAACATTGAGTTGAAGTCAAAAACGGTCATCCTTGGGTTCTTAGCTGCGAGTCGCTGTATCACGAGCAGCTCGACGGAACGGGCCTGTGGCTCAAGGCGTTCCATCTCATCGACAAGAAACTTTAGCTTGATGTCGGGTTTGCCCCCTGTTGACCACTTTTCCAGCGCAGCATCAAGGCTGCGGCGGGAAAGCACCGAGCCGTCGAGATCGGGAGCGGGAACAACCTTGGTTTCGCCGATGCCGTGGTGAAGGACCCCAGGTGTCACGCCCTGAGCCACGCCCGCCGTAGAGATGGGTGTTACCGCCTTCTCCGTGTCGGGAACGAGTCTCGCGATGCATGTGAATGTAGGCTTATCGCTATGGCGGAGGATCTTGTCGAGCATGACGTGGGCTTGCTCACGGGGGCCAAGGATGGCAAATGTATCGTCCGAAAGGTGGTCGATGACGGGTCTGTTATCTCCCAGACGCTTACTGCTGATCCGGATGATGTCCTCAGAGTTCATGTCTGCGGTGACTTCGAGCCGTCCAAAGACGGGCTCGACTGCGGCGGAAGACACCCTGGCGCGTTTAGCGGACGACTGAGATGGAGTGACTGATTGTTCTCTCTCTCTCTCCCCTCCCATAATGGACGCGCCTCCACACATCTTCACCGACTAAATGATTGTTAGTAAAATGGTTTGCTGTGAAACGATAGGCTATCAGCAAAGACCAACATATATGTTTGGTTATGAACGGGAAGAGCTTATTGGGCCAGATGAATTAACGGTGCGTTTTAGGGGAATGAATAAAGCAGGGGGACTGGAAATAGTGAAGAAGTGTAATAATCAGTAAGGTATGAGCAGGGTAAAAAGGGTGAGCAACCCGTAGTGAGGTAAGATAAGGCGGGAGGATAGAAGTTAGGAGCTCCTGCCTTTTTCTATAGAACTCTTGGAAAAGTCCAATCTGATGGAACTTCGGACTGAGGTCGTTCACTTGGACCGCCTCTCCAGCTGTGGCAGCTTTAACGTGGTTCGGAAACTTACCATCTCCGTTCTTGCTTGATATATCACTTATGCTGGTCCTCGGCTTCTCATTTCAAGGAACTAGAACGAGCCACATCCAGGATATACCATCGACATCAATGGCTTGCGAGAGTTTCAATACAGAAACATAGAGCATATCTATGTTTGCAGTCAAGTGATTTGGATGTTTGCTTAGCCTACCTAGTGTTGATCGTCATGAGCTACCTAGTGGCTGAATAAATATAGTGATCAACTGACAAGACCCTATGCTACTTTAGCTACAGCTTTCACTATACCGTCAGGTAATTTAGTTACATCATTGTTTTCACTAAGCGAGTGTGCCAAAATTACACGTTTGGTTCTGTTTTGACGCCAACTGTATTGCCAATGTAAAATTCACCAGGGAATTCATTCTCCGGTGAGCATGTGTTCACCTGGGCCTTTAGCTATTCGAAAACTATCTCGCTCTGGCGGGTTATGTCATGTTACATCACCCTTGGTCGTTCCTGTCAAATAATCCATCTCTATCAGTACGATTTCTCATCTTGTGTTTCCTATCCCTTCCCCCCCCCCCCCCCCCCCCCCTCTTCAATTGACCCGTCGTACATCTTTCTTTTTTCTTCCCCCTTTCACCAAAATCAACAGAGCGAATAGATTCGGTGCGATGACGAGAACCAAGAAAAAAGACCGCGGTGGTGATGGCCGTCGACAGCCTCACGATGAAGACAAGAGGATGAGAGAGGTCCACGGCCGCTTACCTCCCGCCCAACACCAGCGCGAATTTGCCCAGATAGACTCCAGTTCCGAACTCAAACCTCCCTTCGCTAGCAACTGGACTGGAACCTACTCTCAACATCAGCAGGAAGCCCAAATTCCTAGCTCAGTTGCACTAAATGATTCTGGTCAAGTTCTCAGGAGCCTGGAGGTGGAACAATACACCCATGCAGACAGTCACCATGGCGTTAACAATAGCAAGAAACGAAAAATCTTCAATAACAGAGACACAAGCACAAATCGCGAAAACTCCTTGCGGTTTCCGGTCCATGTTTGTGCGCCTTACGACAATTTCATTCAACAATATCAGCCGCCCGCCGCCATGGGTAGGCCTTCGCACCAACCTGACGACAACAGGACTGGCTACCAAAGCACTGCCATCCACGCTCAGCCAAGACACAATACTGAAGTAACCAGATTCAAACTTGAGGACCAACTCGATCACGGCTTTGGAATTCATGGCAATAGCAGCTCTGTTCGGTCTGGCCATGCTGGCTCCAACACCCGTTTGCGACCAGCATTAGATGGAGGGAACCATGCCCAATACTATCCATACCCCCAGCAGAGTCATCAAAGCGACAACCTCAACGCGAATGGCGACTGCCCTGGCGAACAGGAGTATCCCAGACAGATCGCGGACGGTGGGCTACATCAAGACTATGTCGGAATGAGCACACAAGCCGATCAAGCTGGAGCAGTGCATCAACCGCAGATGACTGGAATGTCGAACGGCTCATGTCTGCATGATTCTGATTATCGACGTAATAAACCGCCCTTCAAAGGCAAAGTTGAGATGAGAAAGGAAGAAGCCGCCTTGAATGAGGTTACGACAATACAGTCGCTGGAGGGAGATCGCTTCCACGAGGACAACGTCTGCAATCAATGCGGCCACTTTGGCCACTGGCTAGGCGATTGTGTCTTCCCGGACGACAACGGCTACATCAAGGGCTGTCCCATTCACAACGCGAAGGGTCATACCTGGGACGAATGCCCCGATGCGCGAAAGATGAGCCTAGAGCGCAAGATTATGTACGTCATCCTACGAAGAAGGAACAAGCCAGCGATACAGTCAACACATCCATGGATCGCACTTGTCAAGGTAGCGCTGCAACAGGGCTCAGAAGCATACTGCTGGGGACCATCCGTATGGACCCGGGAATTCGTCATGAAGATGATTCGGGGACCAAAAGCTGATCACCCGTGGCTCGACTTCAATTATGGCCGACAACTCATCTCGACTCTGCCTAAAGATCCGGAGACCATGGATGACCCCGGAGTTCTGGTCGAGAGACGCTTACTCTGGAACCAGGTTCACAGGCCCTTACTCAAGAGAGGTGAGCCTGACGATGGATTTTAGCCACCGGGGACCGAGAATCTTAATGGCCAACACCCGAGCCAGTGTTGTCGATAATTACTACCCAGCACAGAAGTCACCCAACGGCAAGAGGGAACGATAGCGAGGGAACACCAAGCAAAAAACCCGATTCGAGTGATGCCTAGAGTGGTGGAGGATGCGCTTGGGATGGGTTCGGTAATGCTGGAGTCGAAGAAGCCTGAATTATTGATTTTCGAGCAGAAACTGTAGGATAATATATACCGATCTGATGAGAGAAGCAGAATTGGTGTGACCGCAACCTTCAAATCGGTCAGCTGAATGAGACGAGTCCCTTCCTAGTGACGTGATGTGATGTGCCCAGCGAGTCACGGCGTTTTTGGTGATTTTCCGGATTGAGAAACATGTCAGCATACTGATGGAAGAAGAACATGCTGCCTATGAAGTATTCTTTACACGCAGGTTTGCTTGAAACAGTTGACGTTGAGAGTGATGGGGATACCTAGTTTAGAGTTGAATGAATCTCGCTTGGAACCCCCCCCCCCCCCCCCCCCCCCCCTGTCCAGAGATCGGCTACCAAGCTACACCCTGTCAAAATTGGTTGCCCCAGAGAAAGTGACCAGTCAGACGCGCTAAGTCCTCGCCAGTCGTTGCCTTCATTCAATCAATCAGTCAGTGTAACGGTGACAGAGCAGCGGCTGCCCGAGACCTCCGAACCCTTGTGTCCCATCTCCCGCGTCACAGTACATTTTCTACTCCGTCACTCTCCCTACCATTTTTCAACCTCGACCGCCGGTCCGTACACCACCCACACATTCACCGCCGCTGCCTCTTGATTCCCGTTCTCCTCCGGCCACGCGAGATTCCACAAGCGATAGATGCCGGCGTCATGAAAGGTTCACGAGCGGGGAGACGATCACAGTCTCCTCTGTTCCTGGTCCTCGTCATTGCTATCCTCGGTTTTGCGGTCACCGTCGAGGCATCCTACGGTGATCGGTTGCCAGAGTTCCGAGAATGCGTCCAGGTTAGTGCCACTACACACGCGTGGGCTATGTCCGCCGCGCCAGTACCACCCCTTTCGGCATCCAATGACTGACATGTGGCTTTGTGCTGCCCTGCAGGTCTGCCACGATGAGAACTGCGCTCCGGGCAAAGAAGCCACGCCGATCCGTACGTCACCTGCTCCCCGAACCTTCCTCTCCCTATCCGTGGACCTCGCGCGCACCAGATGCTAATGAAGTTCCGCAACCGCAGCCCTTCACCGCCGTCTCCTCTTCTGGACCTGCGCCTCCGAATGCGACTACACGTGCCAGCACATAATCACGAAGCAGCGTCTCGCGGCCGACGAGCCCGTGGTCCAGTTTCATGGGAAATGGCCCTTCCACCGTCTCCTTGGCATCCAGGAGCCCTTCAGCACCCTGTTCAGCCTTGGAAACCTCTGGGCGCACCACGACGGCTGGCGCAAGCTACGCGCCGTCATCCCGTCCTCGTACCCTCTACGGCCGTGGTACGAATGGCTCGCCGGCGTGGGCATGGCTTCTTGGGTCTTCAGCGCCATCTTCCACACCCGCGACTTCCCTGCCACCGAGCAGCTCGACTACTTCGCGGCGGGCGCGAGCGTTCTGTACGGGCTGTATTACACCGTCGTGCGCATCATGCGGCTCGATCGCCCGACGCCGCGCCGGAGGTCAGTCCTGCGCGCTTGGACCCTGCTGTGCGTGCTGCTGTATGCGGGGCACGTTGCGTACCTTAAGGGCGTGCGCTGGGACTACACGTACAACATGACGGCCAACGTCATTGTTGGCATGATCCAAAACCTCATGTGGTTGTGGTTCAGTTTCAATAAGTACAAGCAGTCGCGTAGGGGTTGGGCCATCTGGCCGAGTATCGTCGTCGCGAGCATCATCACGGTCATGAGTCTGGAGCTCTTCGACTTCCCGCCGTTGTGGGGTGCTCTGGATGCGCACAGCCTGTGGCATCTGGGCACGATCCCTCCCACAATACTGATGTACAAGTGAGTTGATCACTTGACGTTGATTGGATCCTGGTTCAACGAGGGCTAACACTGCAGTAGCTTCCTTGTCAAGGATGCGCAGGACGACATGGCTGGCACCGAGAGACTCAAGTCTTGAGCATATTTGAGGCCGCTCACCACAAAAGCACCCCTACTTGCGCTTCCGTGAGGATGCGGCCTGCAAGTGAGTCCTATAGCCCGGAACGGTAGTCAATGTTACCCCGCCGGCATCTTGGTCTAAAGCGGTCACGAATGAAGCTAGAAAGCAGCGGTATACGGGAGAGCACCAGCGTACGCAGCAGATGATTGTTCAGGCCTGGGGTGTAGTTAAGCTTTAATGGTATATTTTACCATGTTCTCCGACCCCTCAGCAGACCGGGGTAGCTATAGAAGGATATGTAACGAGTATGACGGTCTCCATCCAGTAGCATCAACAGTAGTGTAGCGTCGTTGTTACCGGGCCCACGCGAACTTACGACTCCTTCCTATTTGCGGAAAAAAAAACAATCTTATGACTTGTTACTGCCCCAACTTCATCCGGACATGGTCTCATACACCAACAATGACAGTCTCGGTCCGGAAGACCTGGATAGCACCATCGCCCCAGATGCCGACGACGGACAAGAGAAAACCCAACGAGGCAATGGCAGACTGCACAAGCTGCGTCTTTCTGAAGCCCTCGACCTCGCTGCGGACCTCCTCGCCGTTCAGGGCCTCCTCCTCCTCAGCGGCCGTGGCCGCGTCGTCGCCGCTCGCGCTGGCGGCACCGTCGCTGTGCGCATCGCCAAGGAGCTCATAGCTAGCCTCCATGCGGGCCTCTTGGCGGGCGAGGCGGGCAGCCTTGCGGGCCTCCTCTCGCTGGCGGCTGGCTTGCCGGCGGGCGGCGATGGACTCCTTGGACGACTCGGGAGAGCCCTTGAGGACGTAGGGGGTGATGGTCTCGGCGAGGCCAGAGGTCAGACAGAGGACGGAGGAGTAGACAAGGTAAGGGTGGCGGTAGGCGCGCGGGGAGAAGAAGAAGGCGAGGAAGAATGATGTGGCGGAGACGCCGGTCAGGATGCGCAGGCGGGCGGTCGCGCCGGGGTAGAGGTTCTTGAAGGCGCGTAGGGCATCGGACGCGGAGGGGAGGGAGAGGATCGAGGGGACGGTGACGGTAGAGAGGGAGTAGGAGAGGCCCTATTTGCACAACGTCAGTAGATGAAGCGCTTCGCGCGATGGGGGAGCTGCCGAGACCCCGGAGTGCTGAGTGCCGGGATCATGGGTGAGGTTCCAACAATAACCGTATTTATGTCAGAAAGAAACAAGAAGAATGGGGGCCGCTCGTTGTACTACAACTACCACAGTTACACACACATCGTCTGCATCCGCGTCTTATGAATGAAGGAGTTCAGTCTGGAATTTAGTACCCGATGCCACTTAATTAAGGGGTCCGGACGCTTTTGGAAGGTGGACCAGTGAGCGTAATCGCAGAAAGAACGATCAAGAGGGTAACTACTCTAGCAGGTGGACGTGGTAGGGCCGCGGCTCGGCAACGGACAAGTTACTAACTCGCGATTTACCCGCTATTCAATTTTAGAATTCCATCAGAAAGGGTCGTAATATGATGGTTGGATGACGGCTGTCATGTGGTCTGTTCCCAATGCTCCATTCGGCTGACCGAATTTGGATTCATTCGAGGACTGTAGGATTGTACGTTATTAATTAACAGTATGTTTCCTAAGAATGTTTTGTTCGTCTATGAGATCTAGTCTCCTATTTGGCCGGGGGGGGGTTGACAGGAATAGTGGCGATCCGACGAGCCAGGTTCGGTTACAGCCCAGGCGGATTGGGGTAATTTGGGGGGCACAGTAGCAACGTACAGTCAGAAGGCCGAGGGAAACAGTTCCCACGAACTTTAGGAGGGAAACTCCTTTGGAAGCCATCGTCGCCGGGATGGTTCAGCGACTTTGGGTGTGGGAGGTGTTGTTGGAAGCTCGATAATGAGGAGCACACAGCGTCCAAGTTCCTGGGTTCGGGTCGTACGTGTGTGTATACCTTAGGAGGCAGGTAGGTGTGACGACCAGAAAGAGAGATCGGTGTGGAGTCGGGCCGCCTGTCGCTGACGGAGGGGCGGAGGTGCTCTTTGTTGACCTAAACTGGCCTGTGACAGGTTAGACCGAGGAGGGTGGTGGCGGTTAATGGGGAGATGGGGTGGGGGACTGTGGCCGGATTGGATTGGTTGATTGATGGATTGACGACATTCCCGCCTTACCGCCCTTCCGCTTGCGCGGGAACAGCAGAAACAGAGGGGGGCTGTTTTTGCTTGTTTCGCGGCGATTTGGTTGGCCGGGATCGTGTGGGTACCTCATGTGGGTCTTCTGTAATATGGGGCAGGCCGATCTTCAAATTATCCGTGCACTGATTAGCATCCGCTCTCGAAGCTTCGCCGAGATTGGGAATGCTGCACAAGTCCTTGCACGAGTCTCTTCTCCAAAATCCAGCCAGGCTTTATTCTAGTGTAGGTGCCGTCTCCATGCGGTCATTCCTGACTCCTACCCCGGTAGGAAGAAGCGCGTATTGACGAGGCCGCAATCAGAAACGAGCGTTATTTCAAATTGCCATGACGTACTTTGCGTTGGTCATTCGATCCTGTGCGATTGCTTCAAGTAATAACGTCATGATATATCATCGAAGAATACTAGATACGCATATTGCGAGGTCATATGATTCTAGAACCCCCTGTTCATCTACTCCAGTTTCTTTCTCGCATGTATGCGGCGGATGCCCTGCTTTGGCCAGGGCCATCAAACTAGATCTGCTTGTTCGGTCTCCTCCAGCGGCCTTTTGGCACAGATCACCCACCTGTCTTAGTTAGATGAAGACCTGCAGAAACAATCTGGGGAAGGAAATCAAAGGAAGAAGGCAGGAGAAGAAAAGAAGATAGTAACTTACAGAGGGTTGTAAGCATGTACGTCCTTGGCCCATGGGCTCAGGGGCTACTTGTATTTGGCAACTGTCACATCGAACGAAGCCGACCTCCTCGAAAATAGGCACAAGACTCGGCATGTCAATGCATTGGCGGCCGAAGACACTGTTGCATTTCTCAATGTGGTCAACCCACTTTGAGATAGCGTGCTCAAGCGTCAGGGTTCTTCGACATGGCCGACCTCAAACCGAATATTAGGCGGGACACTGAAATAAGTAAGTAAGAGTAAGAAGAAAGAGAATCCGAGCTGTACAGTTGTACCTGCATGGGCGTGAGATCAACGCCAAGCACCTACGTTACATAAGTACGAATCATTTCTAAGAGTGGATGGCAGGTTTACCTCGGCTTCAGCATGTGCCTCGCCAAAGTCAATAGCCCAAAGTCCAGTCCCTGTTCCAACGTCGATGACACGCCTGACACCGAAGTCTTGATTCGGAGGAGCAAGGCCCAACTTGTAGCCAAGAGTGAGAAGATAGATGTTGTGATGTAAGTCTAGGTGGGGCGTGAGGATAGTCTGGGCCGAGCGGGCATTGCGACGTGCCTAGCCTATCGTTCTCCTTCTCATCATTGGGTAAGGCGTATTCTTGTAGTTTTTTGGAACATGTTTACCACTTGGTTCATAAAGCGGGGGAAGGCTCACTGCCGTCCTTGTACTTGAGGTAGGTCCTTCCGTTCTCGATGCGGTGCTTGGGGATCGAGCTGGCCAAGCTCGTGGTCGGGGATGCCAAGCTCTGGAGGAGTTAGAACATGCCATAACACCCGATTAAAGGCCCGATGGGTTTATGCTTACGGTTGCTGCGTCTGACGTGGCATCGTCTGTGACCTACATCGAAAGTCAGTGTCTGCATACCTGTTGGGTCTCTTCATGGTTTCTCACATCGTCGTTGGCCACGATAACAGGATCACTGGTGGGGGCAGGATCATTGGCGGGTGCTGCACCATTGTCGGGCGCTGTGTTGTTCTGGCTGTCGGCCATGGTGCAGCAGTTCAAGGGACCAAGGTGCGGAGAGCTGAGTCGAGTGTCTTTTGTTCGGAAAGGAAGGTGAAGTAGAGTTGAGAGAGTTGTGAGCATGGTATAACTGGCCTGTACGCGAACATTTCAAGCCGAAACAGAATGGTTCCTTTGGCTTATGTGGTATCATTTTCGCTCAAAGAACTAAAAAGTTCGTATTACATGGTAACGACAGAAACTCTCCTACACGCAGATGTTACGTTCTGCCCCCTATCCGTATGGAAGCTGTCTCCGGTTTCACTGTCAAATCATACCTCAGTCTTCATATCTGATTCCATGAAACTTATACCTTCTCCTCAAGCGGTTGTCTCCCATGGATAATGTAACTACTTGGAAGGTTAGCGAAGAGTTGAATGGCGAGCTGACACATGCCTGCTCCGGTTATGATATAGGATTGGCGTGGAAAAATCAGGAGGAAAACTAGCAACTCACATAGGGCAGTACGCATGCATTCCCCTGTCCTTAATACCCTTCCGCATGTCGACGGGAAATGCGTTAACCTCATACTTTGTCCAACCAAGGGCTCCGGTAGAGCGTACCATCGTTCAAGCCTCAATGCCCTCCCAAGTTCCAAGCTTTCGAAAGTGAGGATATTTGAGCCATGGGTTAAGTGGCCACTTGAACGTACTGACATAAATGTCAATAAAACCGACCTCCTTCAGCTAGTTGTTCAAGGTTCAGGGGCAGAGATATGATGCATCTATACGTACCGATGCCCTAGCAGATGAGATGTCATCAATTTCATCGGCGAACTGGGGAGGAGTTTGTCAGGGATGCGAAGTTACCAGGGGATTCGTGGATGCCCGTCATATTATCGGCCACGAAGATGGTCGGGTCATTGTCGGCGTGGACGTCGTTCTGTGCGCTGCTCATGTTGGGCGCTTTGCATGTTGCTATGCCCAGTTGGTTATCTTGACACGTGGTCCACGTTACGACGAGGGAAATTGAGACAGGCCGAGAATTCGAGGCCGCGAACCTTCTATCCTTGTGGGGTGTCCAACGGCAGCATGCCACGCGCGCATCTTTATTGCAACAGGAACCATAGGCCCGACGTGCGACAGCGGCAAACAAGAACTAGGGACTCCTACGGGAAGCAGTGACCCCCGAGCGAGTCAGATAGACTGAGGAAGCAACCCTTTGCTGGTCGGCCGAGACTGTCTTCTCGTCCGTCTTCAAGGTCCGTGGAAGTGATGACTCAGCAGGAGAATCACTAATCACGCAACACACCGCACCCCAGAAGGCTCCACCTGCAACCTGCCCTTGCCGAGGTCCGTCGCGCTACGCAGTACTACCGCGCTGCCATCTGGAGCTGCGCACTGCCGTCGCCGTTGCATGTCAAACCCAAGCATCGATCGCACCGACCGGACTTTGTTTAGTCTCCTCTTGTTGTGTTACATTTCATCGCCTAAACTCTCCGATCTCTGTGTAGCCAGCGGGTTCATCAGTATTCCCCCATCGTCCGACTTCGCACGTTCCATTCGCTGCCTTCATCTCGTAGAAGATATCCACCTTTCCACCCGTCATCATACTCCTCCATATTGTGATACCAGCCACTCATTGCCTCTGTACATCTTCCGTACCTACGCTCTGAAAACATGCCCGTCCCCGAATCCGAGTACCTGAGTCCGGTGTGGAAGGATGGGATCTTCAGTGAGTTGCCCGGGGTTCTTTGCACCTGGCCTCCAGATTAACCAATCCATCACAGATGATAGAGTCGCCTTTGTCACTGGCGGCGCTGGAAGTATTTGCAGCGCCCAAACCCGGGCTCTCGTCCGTCTCGGAGCAAACGCTTGTATCATCGGCCGCAACGTCGAAAAGACAGAGGCCATGGCCAAGGACCTGGCTACTGCCAGGCCCGGCGCCAAGGTCATTGGCATTGGTGCTTGTGATGTGAGAAATGTATGTATCCATCGATCAATCAATCACTTGGAGCCACATGCGTCAATAAATGCCAAATCTGACTCGTTCCTACTAGCCCCAGAGCCTGCAAGATGCCGCAGACAGATGTGCCAAGGAGCTCGGTGGCATCGACTTTGTCATGTAGGTCACCAATATAGATGGCGTCTTCTCTCGAAACTAACGCCCAACAGTGCGGGTGCCGCTGGTAATTTCGTTGCACCTCTGTCCGGCATGAGCCCCAACGCCTTCAAGGCCGTTATTGATATTGACGTCCTGGGCACTTTCAACACCATCAAGGCCACCATCCCTTATCTGGTTGAGTCGGCAAAGAAGAACCCTACACCTAGCAACAACGGCCAGACAGGCGGCCGCATCATCTTCGTCTCGGCAACCTTCCACTGGACGGGTATGCCGCTACAGGCCCATGTGTCAGCTGCCAAGGCCGCCGTCGACGCTCTCATGGCCTCGGTGACCTTGGAGTACGGCCCCTTTGGAGTCACGAGCAATGTCATTGCCCCGGGCCCGATCAAGGATACGGAGGGTATGCAGCGGTTGGCCAGCAGCAAGCAGGACCAGTCCAAGGCCGACGCTCTCGTGCCCCAGGGTCGCTGGGGCGTTATCCGAGACATTGCCGATGCCACCGTTTATCTGTTTAGCGACGCCGGCAACTTCGTCAACGGCCAGGCGATCCCTGTTGACGGCGGCGCCTGGAGACGGGGAGGCGCGCTGGCAGTGGGAACTGACGAAGACATGCAATACCCAGACTTCCTCCTGAAGGGGCAGTTCTCGAAGAACGTCAAGAGCGGACGCAAGGATTCCAAGCTGTAGACCGGTGAAGTTGTTTTTGGAGGCCCGTGAGAATGCTTTGAAGAGTCCATGGGTAAAAAAATGAAGACCGAGACCGTAAGTCGATATCTCACGGGTAGTGATTGCCGACCTGCCCTGCTTGTAAGATACTCAGAGTGTGGATGGAGAGTACCACTTGATTTGAACGTGCCAGTCCCTGTTGTCTCCAGGTGTCTTTTGGCATCTGGCGGTAGAGGCCGGCTGCAGCAAGACGTCTTGAACAATCTACATGACGATTCCAAACACGGCCGATTTAACGGTAAAGCGTAAGCGCCCTCAAAGAGGCTCCTGGTGGTATATTTCAGGACGGGAACGAGGTCGCGCCCAAGCATACACTGTTTGCCTTGGGAGTCGAACTAGAACCGCGCATCGTGGCCCATACGTCGATCCCCACTTATCACGGCTGGTCAGTTGTTGTCCGTTCCATGTCGTTTCCGTTAAGGTATAAATATCAAGGTGCTAGAAAAGCCCAGTGAACGCCGCCCTCATATGTGATGGGGGGCTTGCGGATTTCACGTATCTTGGCGACCGAGAAGCCGTCGCCGATAGCCGGGCCCGCTGCCGCTGCCGTGGACAGGAGCGGAGACCTGTGGCACATCAGGATCTTGCGGTCTGCATCTGCCGACATCACACCGATCCGTCACCATTGCCAACAAATCAGTTTCGCCGAACCCCGAACGGCGTGCGGCGCGCTCAAGCATTATCAAGCCGAGCCGCCATCCACCACCCCTCAACCTACATGATGGCTTGCTGCTCAAGTGGGGAACACCATGACAGCCAGCCTCGACCATTCGGTAGCACGAATCGTTTGCCCTGCTTCCGGCACAGTGGCCCATCTCGCGGTTCCTCCTGCTCTCCCCGCCCAAAACCATAGTCAATCCTCCGCGGCAATGGTCTTGCGCTGAATGATACCTGATAGCATGATAGGACATGGCCTGGCCTTGACCCAATCACCACCCGCAGTGGTTTAGTACTACACCTGCCCCTCCCTTTATCGCGAGCCTTCGACCGGTTCTAGAGGCCGGGAGCGGGTTCAGCTGCATGTGGAAGGAGGGGGGAGTGGGAGGGGAGTGGAGATGTGATTACTACGTAGGACGGGTAGAGCGGAGATTCATGTGGCTCTCGCCTATTCGTGAGCTGCGAGAGTCCAACTGGCCGTGACAGGGTAAAAGGACGTTGACATCCGGGCTCTTGAGGGGGTTGATCAAATCCTCTCGCAGCAACACCAATCTTGCCAGGTCACTTCGTACTCGTGACGGACCGCCGTTTTCCTGGTCTCGAAGGCATCTGCAATAGGCCGTGTCGCTGTCCCCGTAACTAGCTGTTCACGACCCGACAGACGCAGAACGTGTGTGTCTATGACGATCCATTGACGGTGCAATACCCACCCGAACGGCAATTAGACCGAGTGAGGCATATCATTGCCCCTCATATATAAACTCACCGCTGCATTTTCACCCGGCCAAGCTTTTGAACAAGTCGACCACCCGGTGGAGCATTCCATAACCAGGCGGCATACATTGAAGTCTTTACGGACGAGGCCAAGGAACACTCGGCGTTGACATTACAAAAGATAGTCCACAACGCCGGCCTCAAGACCATCCACGATGGAACTTAAGCTCCTCCTGGCCCTCGGCCTCCCCATCATACCGACCGCCGCCGAGACGGTTCTGGGCGTCTACGTCTTCCACCGTCACGGCGACCGCACCGCCAAGAAGACGCCTCCCGTCCGCTTCACTGACCTTGGCGCCTACGAGGTCTATACCTCCGGGCTGTACTATGGCGAACGGTACGTCCGCGACAACGCCACGGCCCAGATCCGCTCCATCAGCGCCGACGACGTCCGCCCCGAGCAGCTCGCCGTCACCTCCCCCAGCGACGTCGTCCTGCAGTCATCGGCCTACGCCTTCCTCCAGGGCTTCTACCCGCCCTCCGGCACCGCCGATGCCCTCGCCAACGGGTCCCGCGTCGAGGCGCCCCTGGGCGGCTACCAGTACGTCCCCGTCAACTCCGCGGCCACGGGGGCGGCGACGACTAGCGCGAATGCCGAGAGCAGCGAGTGGCTGCAGGGCGGCAGCGGGTGCGGCAAGGCCGTCGTCAGCTCTAATAACTACTTCTCCTCGCCCGAGTACGCCGCTCTCGAGGCCGAGTCCCGCGTCTTCTACCGGGGTCTGCTTCCCGTCATCAACGGCACCTTTGACGACGAGGCCGCGTCGTTCGCCAACGCCTACACAATCTTCGACCTGGTCAACGTTGCCATCATCCACAACGAGAGCATCCCCGCCGCGGACCTGCTCACCGGCGCCGCCGTCCGTACGCTGACGGACTACGCCAACATCCACGAGTGGAACCTCGCCTTCAACGAGAGCGACCCAATCCGTGCCATCGCCGGCAAGGTACTCGCTGGCCAGGTCCTCCGGGGCCTCAACGCGACGCTCTCCGGCAGCGCCGTCAAGGCCAACATCCAGTTCGGCGCGTACGGCGCCTTCTCCTCCTTCTTCGGCCTCGCGCAGATGCACAGGGTGTCAGAGGACTTCAAGGCCATCGTCGACTACGCCTCGTCCATGGTCTTCGAGCTCGTCACCAACGACACGTCGGCCAGTCCCGCCGCCGACGACATCTCGGTGCGCTTCCGCTTCGCCAACGGCTCCGCCGGCGCCAGCCCCCTGACGGCGTACCCGCTCTTTGGTCGCGCCGAGACCGTCCTGCCTTGGGCCACCTTCGTTGACGAGATGCGTCAGTTCGCCGTCGAAGACACCAAGTCTTGGTGTACGGCTTGCGGAAACTCCACCGGCACATGCGCCGCGGCGCTGGGTCTGGACGGCAGCGCCGACTCGAACAGCTGGAGGTCCGGTTCCGGTGGCGGCGGCATCTCGGCTCCCGTGGCCGGTGTCATCGGCGCGCTTGTGACGTTGGTCGTCATCATGGGCATCCAGGGCCTATTTATGCTCGTTGGCGGCCTGCGCATGGTCAAGAAGCCTAATGTCGCCAAGGATGTCCCCGCCGCTTCTACCACCGAGGAGGTTGCCAGCCGCAAGCACTAAATGAGGATGTCATGGAAGAGCGGGCCTCGGGGTTCGCGGGGATGACGAGTAGCGAACAACGTGTGGGATGAGAACCCTTACCGTCATGAGCTAGTAATCAGGTGTCGATACCAACCTGAGCCTACCCGCGTCCCAGTGGCCCAGGGCATAAGTTCACCCCATTTACTAGACGATGGCGTGTTAATTCGAGAAGCGACGAAAAAAGACTTATTTAATATGTTACGTATGCAATCTGCATTAGGCCAAGTGCAACCCGCGCGGTACACTGCGCCCCTCTTAACCATGGACATATTTTCTTCCCGGTCAATGACTCTTCGCGCCACCTCACCATGAATTCCATGGTGCCCATTCAAAAGCTGTGTCTGGTTTACCGCCCGCACATGTAGTTATAGGGTCTCCGGCAGAAGTGTCTTCGCCGCCCATCGAGGCAGTCTAGGGCCTCAAGTCCCTCAACTCGTTGGAGCTCGAAGCGTCATCCCTTTCCAGCTCTGATAGTCCTATCAAAGTCGACATAGTAGCCTCAAGTCCTCTTCTGTTGTGTGGCTGACAGAATATTCCCCTGTTAACGTCTGTTGCTGAACCGTGCTCGCCGCGGGAGTTCGTTCTCTGAAGGACTGGATATCCCTGGCGGAGCCACCGCGTACGCCAGCTTGCGAGTGTCATCTCGTTCACGCCGTAAATGAGAGCATCCACGAAACCCTGGATGACGACGGCGGCCTTGTCGACCGTCTGCAGTGCAAAAGCTGCCGGCTTGTCCTCTGTCGCTTGATATACTCGGATCGCGGTTGGCAGCGACCAGATGATGGCATAAGCTAGGGGGTAGAGAAGCATAAGCCGTGCAACCTGTAAAAGGTTAGCTCCGTCTCATATGTAAAGGGGGGTAAGCTAATCTAACCCTCTTGAGCCTTCGGACTGAAACTGCTGAATGACTTTCGGTCCCTTCGTGAATGCTTGTCATGCGACTTCCCTCCTCAGTTGTAAGTCCGGACACAGGGTGGCCAGGGGAAGGGTGCTGGATCGAGCCCAGCCGAATGTGTGCTTTATAAAGAACGAACGACAGGTGTGCATACATGACAAACATAATGACTATGATGACCCCTACGACAACGAAGCTCAGTTATCTGCCAAAAGCATCATCGCCTACGTGCTAAGCTCACATCGAGGAATGAAGTTCACGAGTAGACGGATGGTGTCTGAGGTGAACCAACACCCTATCAGCCCGTCAGGAAACGGGCAAGGGCGGGATTGGATGTGACAAGACATGGCTCACAAGCACCAATGTCCCCATAACCAACGATGCCGAGACCAAGGAAGGCCCAGAGAACCGAGAAAATCCAGGGCAATGCCCAGATAACGAGTTCATGGTTCTGTATCCAGGTGGACTGGGTCTTGTGACCAGCCAAGATGAAGTAGGTACAGACGGCGATGGTCAGAACCCAGTAATCGGTCTGGATAACAAAGACCTGCGTCATGAAACCGTTGAAGCGCAGAAGCCAACGTTTCTGGGAGCACCTATGAGGTTGCCTTGTACGTTCATTGCCGTCGAGCACAGGAAATTGAGCGCCATATGCGCGTCACTGATGGCAAGCCCAGTGATGAGACGGTGGCGAAATGAGCGGAGGTGGGGGAATATCTGAGGTGATCGTCAGTACAGGTCAGCATGGAAGCAGCCGCAGGGCTTACCGCGTAGTTGGCCATGATCCATCCTGCACCGATCAGAGATATGAGCGCTACCGAGAGGATGACAATGCTTTGAAGACGGACCTCTGATGGGGTAGCAGGTGCTGCGAGTACCTCATTTTGGACCCGTGGACGAATCATGGCGAGAAACCAGGATAGACAGCCAGAGGTTAACGACGGACAATATGACGGGTACCACGGGGGTGCTGACCATGGCACGGTGGGAGACGTTCTTGGCAGATCCACAAGCGGATTGTATTTGGACCCAGGTACGGGCTTCCCGAAGACGTCTCCATGATTGACGAAAGAGCTCATGGCATTAAAGAGGAAGCCGGTTCCGCTTTCGACTCTTCCATCCGTACCCCAGCCGTTGTCTTTGCCGATAGCGCAACTGCTACTGCCACCTCTGGCGTTCCTGTGAGGAGTTCCTGCTTCGTGTACTTTATTGTTCCGCTGGTGTAACAATTTGTGAGAAACTCTAGAGAAAACAGCAGGTACGTAGCAGACGGGGGAAGAGAGAGAGAGCAGAGACGGCGCCAGCTTGTCTCATCTGCGCGACATGATATCGAGCCTACCTACCTAGGTACCTGCTACCCCTTTGCCTATCACAATTGGGAAGTACCTACGCAGTACCTTGGTTCACTCACTACCTAGGTAGGTAGGTAGGTAGGTATGTAGGTATGCAGCTGAATTGACCTGAGAGTTCTACCACTCTTGCCTCGGCAGAAAAATTGAAAAGCAACAAGACGAAAATCCAAAAGAGGAAGGCAAAGGCGACAGACCAGTATCATGGCAAGAGCTCAATGGGTCTTGCTGACATGCCAGACCTACGGTCAGGACAACATAGCCGGAACATTCCCGGTCCCACTGATGACCCTTCCAAGAGCCTGGTGTCCATTCGCCAAGCCCAGAACTTCGCTGCAACATCGCACTTTCAAGCATCACGACGCCAGCAATACATGGCCGTGGCACAACGGATAAAAAGTAAAAATAAAAACAAACCCCATCATTTGACGCCTACCTAACATGGACCAGAAGACCTGTAACGCTCGAGGCCAGGGGCATTCCGTCAGTCCCCAGGGTCCAGTGGCACCCGCAGCCGCCCTGAATCGATCTACTACGTAAGTCATCACATCCACTAGCGCTGCTCCGCTTCATCGATCGGCGGCCGAACATGACAGATCTCCTGTCATTTTTGGAATATTGCCGCCACAAAGCGGAAATTTACATATCGTTTAGGGCAGTGTAGACTAGGTAAGCCCAGATATGTAGGTAATCCGACCCAAGCAATGACGCCCACGTCCCTGGTTCTCGGTAAGAATTTGCTGACCATGGATAAACCCTAGCTCCAGAAGCTTGCTTTTGTTTCTTCCGGTACTGATGATGCTCGTGTCTCGTCAGATTCAAGTGTAAAGTGGAGTTGAGGGTCGATTCTGGGGCATGGGCTCCTTGATACATCCACAGCTCCCAGCGGCCGTTTCCTGAAGTCCATATCGCACACCGCATATACGCAGTATATACCAACCTTGGTATGCTGCAATGTACGGGTCCGCTTCGTGCTCCATGAACACGACGAGTTCGGCTTCTCGGGTCCGGGAGCCAGCGCACCGTCGAGGATACATGGAGAACTCGTCGGCACAGTCACAGTCCCATTGACTAGCCGCCAGCAAGATGCAGAGTGTTACCCATCTGCAACAAGGAGGCACAAAGCGCCCGACCCGACATCAACCGCCTGACTCGCCGACCTTTTACGACTAGCGGTTCTGTGGAGAGAACGGTGCACCGTCGTGGACCGTTTGTCCCAGGACGAGGGAATAATGAGGCGGAGACGATCCAAGACTGGGTCAACAACCTATCCCAGTCCCAACCTCCGGTGTTAATTGGCGAATTTTGGGGAGAGAAGGGGGAAGAAGCTGCCAACATCAATTCGGTCTTCCCCGCCAAAAGGCCAAAGCGAACGGCAAGGGTCACTACCGAAGGCAAAACGATGAAATTGCAAACAACCACGGACGGCCTCACCAAGGTGCGAACCTACTACACTCCCGGTCCCCCCTGGATTCCAGTCGAGGCGGCAGCAGCAACACACGAGACACATCCCGGGCTTGGGCGCCGCGCAATCAGGGCCTCCAATGTGCAACCGAAATTTGCCCTCGGCCACCACTATTCGGGGAGGACGGAAACCTTAGCACATCGTCGCCGTGGGTGGTGGTCAAAGATGAGCCGGGAATCGCGGGACGATCGCAAAATCCCATGGTCGGGTAGATGTGTACAGCATGGCGGCGGGCGTTGGATTACGTGTGCCAGATCCTTGTCGTATTGGCAATGCGACCTCGCGCGTGCGCGGAGCCGAAAACGGCGCTCTCTTTTGCATCTTGGCTCCCTCCCGTGAGGGCAATGCTGGTGGCCGCTCTTTCGGCCCCGAACAGCAAGCATGGAGCGGCCGAAAGAGAGAGGGAGAGTGAGAACTGACAGCGGCTTAATCCGCTAACACGCCTCGGACCCCGTTGCAACGTCAACTAAGCATGGAGAAAAGCCTTGTGGATGCGCGCTTCTCAGCGGAGTCGGGTCCAATAGGCGGCCGGTGATTAGCATGGGAATCTCGGGAGCCCCCCCCCCCCCCCCGAAACATGTCCCCGCCTACGATTGGCAACTACCTAGTACCAAAGCCGAGCCGGCCAATAGTACCACGATACCGACATCATGCCCTCGGTCTTGAGATGCAGTATCTCGCGATATCCACCTACACATTCGAATCACCGAGCCGCAGTTGCTGAGCTAGGGAGAAGGCATGTATTGCTCGGTGTGGTTAGGTTGTTGTCCAGCGTCTTCCCGCACGAGAACTCGATTGAACTTTCATTACCTCACTCGCGGACGTGGCGAGGCTCGGCAAAGGAGGAGAGACCGAACAGTCTGTGACTTCTGAGGTAATTTCAGGATTCGCTACCACATTTAACAGATGGCTCGTCGTATTGAGCTGTGCCGCGGTTCTCCGCAATGGTCAGACCCGACGCTCCAGCCACGTGGAGCATACAAACAGTGCAGGCGCCTCATTATGTCCTGTCCCCGCCAAGGCCCGCGATTCTCGACCTCGACCGTGGCCCTATCGCATGACCCCTGGGCTACGCGGCCATCACAGCATCAGAAGCCTGCTCCGGGCTGGATATCCTTGCAGCAGCGATATGGAGTACGTATCTCGAGGGCCAGCCATTCGAGTGCCCACGAGGGGATCCAGTACGAAACGATTGCCTTTCCCGTCGCCCCTCTCTCGGGGTCAGGGGTGATTCGACAGATCAGTGTAGACGAGCGAAGATCATTGACCTAAAATGCACGCCAGGCAACCAGGGCGCAACACCTTTGAACGGGCTCTTCAGAAGCCAGTTGGTAGCCCTTCGGGTGACGAAAAAAAAAAGATGGCCTGTTGCCATATGGCAGTGGTAAAGAAAAGCGGCCATCTTTCTTGTCAACCGAGTGGTGGCGAAGGAAAGCTGCGCCTCGTCGCATGCGGGACAAAGCATGTCGCACGTTGCAGGTCTGCCGTCACGATGTGCATATGGCTGCAAGGCTTAGCCGACATGCACGACAGGCTGCTAGGACGGAAGACGCAAGTAGCTCGCCAGAAGTTGGATGGTGCGCCTCATCAGAGCCCGGCTTCTCATCTCTTGCTGGAGGCCCAGGATGACATGCTCATTGCCTCCCTCCATCGGGGCTAGCGCTTATATCCAAAAGCTGCCAACCCTTAAAACATGCGTGCTGCTTCCCCCACATGAGCTATAGGTATGACTGACGAGATATATACCAGAGCGCAGTACTCCCACCCATTCGATGGTTCCTCGAATCATTTTCCTAGTCTTGTCCAAAGGCGAAGCTAGGGGTGGTCAAGTTCCATAGCTTCCGCAGCCCTTCGCGACCCGGTCTGCAGACCCAGGGCAAAAAGAAAGCAGGTGGAAGTGCAGGACAAGGGCGAGGCCGAGGGTTTTGCTATGCCAATGGACGGAAGCGAGAGGGACTTAAAACAGCCATAAAACCTGAGGCGAGCAAGAGACCGTCCTGCCTGAAGATGAAGACGAAGGTTATAGAGGAGGAAGAAAAGGTTGAGGAGGGTATATGGCGGCTCTGCTATTGCTTTACCACCCTCCTCCCCTCCTCCCCTCCTCTTCTCTCTCTCTCTCTCTCTCTCTCTCTCTCTCTCTTCCCGGGCGTTACGGGGGCACATTTGGCTATGTTGCATCTGGTCCGCACCATTCTTTGTGGGCACGCGCGCGCGCACATACATACACATACACAGTCACAGTCACAGTCACACCCTAATATTTACACAAGCAGCGGCCCCCCTCTCTCGCGATACCATGCCTCGTAGCTATCCGGGTTTCCAGTGAGCAAATACCTTGTCGAAGGGCCGGCTTCGCCCCGCACCCTCCCCTCCCCAGCAAAGCAACGACCGGAGTATTCTCCGAGAGAGGCAACTCGAGTAAGCGGTCACTCACCCGAGAGGCCCGGCACGGGTTGGTTTGCTGGTTCTTCTCACCCCCCATTTAGCGGACGGGGCAGGATGCAAAACGCATTACCTGCATATAGGCAAAAATAAGGGGGAAACATATGGGCCTGCGCCCACCGGCCTTGGCCAACTGCAACACACACATATGCGCGCGGGCGGGCGGGTGCCCCGCACTGGTCCAACATCGGCCATGGGAGAAAGGAGGACAGCACCGCGGGGGGGGGGGGGGGGGGCAAGGAAAAAGAGAGAAAGGCAGTGAAGATCAAATCTCACCTTGGCTCTCCCGTTGGAGAATCATATACGGACGAAGTGGGTGTGGGCAGACGAATCAACGTCGAACATTGCACACTGGCGATGAGTCGTCGGCTTGGAAAGTCAGGATTTGAGTTTCTCACCCTGTCGTGGAATGCATGATTGTAGCGTAGAACTGGTAACCTATGATTCTCTTTTGATAGCTTTAGAGGATGAATATGATAATAAAGAAGAGGCACCACCGGCGGCGAGTGTATATCGGCGGCTGCGGCCGTCATCGAGAACTTCGCCCGCCCCCTCCTTTTTTCTTTTGCGCCGTTTCCCAATGCCTTTGTTTGTTAAACGCCCATAAATAGCTTTACCGGCCCCCGATTCCATACAAGTACAGACAGACGCACCTATAGACATGTGCTTTGCTATGCTGGTGTGAAGAAACCCCCACTCACCCTTCCGATAGAATGGACGAGATTGGGTAGAGAGGTATGAAGATGGGAGGAGGAGCGGGAAAAGACCACACACACACACACCGCCCCTTTTCCCTCCTCCCGAAAACCAAAAACCGAAGAAAAGAAGAATACAAAAAAAGAAATAAAAGAGACAACAAAAAAGGAAAAGATGCAACAACGCTTTGCTCGCTTGCTGTGTGCTTTTTTTTTTTGCTTTTTTTTCTCCCCTCCCCCCCCCCCCCCGACCTGAATTCTGACAGTGAGTACAGCCTGGGTATGGTTGGACCAGCGCTTAGTCGCGACCGTAGGGCCCTTCAAGGGAACTAAGCGATGCACAATGTATATGGTTAGCAGGAGGGTCGGTTTATTACGAATATCTGCCTCTCCCAAACGTAGGCCCCTACTTCGACACGTGGCATCAAGGTGACTGGACGGACTTCATGTTCCACACCATTTCAACGTCTCTTTTGATGTGCATCCAGGACCAGCATTTCGCAGATAATGTCTTCAACGGCTACGCGCCCGTGTCGGGTCAGTAGAAGCTCGGCAAGGGTTATGTAAGGTTTGGTAGTGTGTGCAGCTATGTACCTGGCACCTTTGTGGGCACTCGCTCCGTCGCGGTATTGATCACCGTTTAATCGAATGTTTCACTTGTGATCCTACGTGTGCTTCCGTGTCGAGTCAAGATATGGCCGTCGTGTTGTCGAGAAGAGAGGGAGCTGGTTATTAGAGACCGAACCCCCACACGGCAGGTATGACGGTTTCATCCTCCCCCCCCTCCGTGGGATGCGGTGCCTCGTTGAATGCGGCCGTCGTTGCGTCACCCGTCCAAGGACCCATGGTCTCTCCCCCCCCGGCTGGCGGCCCAGTTGCTGGCTCTCTTTCTTTCTCAACCACCCCCTCCCCCTCGCCTTCCTCCCGAATACAACTGTGACATCCATCCAAGTAGACAGCTCTAGTCACGTCCCCTTGACGGTTCAACGCCTTTGTCGTTTTCGTCGTGTGAAAAGAATGGTACTCGATCGAGTGAATCCGGTTGAATGGCAAGAGCGCCGACCATTGCTCCCGGGGCAGTATCCCGTCGTGGCAGGGCGGACATGGCAGCTGCGCCGGATCGCATGACAGCCGGCTGCCACGTCCCGGGTCTGGAAGACCAGAGCCAGAGGACGGCTTGATGGTATTTCGCCGAGATAGAGCCCGGCTTAGCCGCTGCAAAGGGGGCAGTGGCCAGGAACGACAATGTATCGCTCGTGGGGCCCGTTGCAGCAGGCCCGGCTTCTGTTGCCGTCCATGGAGGTCCTGAAGAAGTGGGCACCAGGGTCGATGCATGACGTGTATATGTAGTAGTTCTTGGTATATTCACACATCTTGGGCGGCTGGTTGGGCAAAAAAGAAAAAAAGGACTGTTGCTCTACGAGTACGTCGATGCCTCAACCTAGTAGTGAGAAGCCGGAGTCTAGCACCAGTTGTTGGGGGTGGCGCCGTCAGTGTCCGGTGGAGGTGCGTGTAGAATAGGTGTGTTGGGCGGGAAAAAAAGATGTGGGTGCTGTGCGTGCAAGCAAGAGGTGGACGAGATGAAAGTGGCAGAGGTGAAATGTTGTACGATGTCTGGCTGGCGCCGGAAGGCGAGGGGGGAATGTTCCTCTCTGGTCGTATTTGTATACAGCGTGATGGTGAGAGATGGATGGGTTGGGCCTGGAGGGACTCGGTCTCAAAAGTCCGAAGTTGAACAGACGGAAGAAGGGAGAAGAGATGACAGGCGTGGCAAGCGGATGGCGGAGAGAGTATGGCGAAGTTGAGGAGGTATCAGAGGTCAGAGGACACGACGGCTCTTTGTACTTAGACAGCAGAGGCTGTTGTTGCAAAAAGCATGCGCATGGTGGGGTCAAGGCCGGATGGAATCTATACGGGTGAGACGAGAAGCAGGGCCAGGGCGTACGGTAGGTAGGGTATGTACCTGGAAGGGAATGGAGAAGCAAGGCGCAAAAGCATTGGTTTTGAGCGTACTGTGAACGGATTTGAGCTACCCTGTCCACCATGTCTGAGCCATGACGGAAGGGCTTGCTTGCGTCGAGGAAAGAAAAGAGGAAGAGGAAAAGAAAGCGATAACAACAAAACGGTCGTTAGGACGGACGGACGGACGGACGGACAGACAGACGACGAGGTCCAGGGTTGAGGTGTGCTCTCCGCCTCGCAAGGTCCAGGTCTGTGACAGTGGGCGCAAGTGCTAGATTCCCCTCCCCAATCAGGCGATGGAGGGCTTTGACAGTGGACGGGGGCATGGTGACCAAGAGGTGTATACATGGGAGGGAGGTATCTGGACCCCTGGTCATAACTGCACACCGCGTGGCATCTGCAAGGTAAATCTACTATCGCCACGCCCTGTGCTGAGATTGGGTGCGCTGATGCTGATGGCACACTCGAGGGACGGACTCAGAGGTCAGAGGGGATCGAGCGAACAAGAGCTGAGCTGGCCTGGCCGGTCTGGTCGTCTTCTACAGGTCGCTGCTCGCTCAAGTCAGTCCAGCATATGCAAAGAAAGGGGGAAGGAAGGAAAGAAGGAAAGGGGTGGGAGGGGGCAAGAGAGTAAAAGATTCAAAATAATAAGAATAATCAAATGATAAATAATGATTTGCAGGAGGAGGTTATTGTCGTTTTGACGAGGTAAGATTGAAAAAAAAAAATGGGAAAAAGGAAAAAGAAGAAGAAAAAAAGGTCATCTCCTTTAATTATTATTTACTCTTTTTTATTATTTTATTTAAATAATTTGTTCTTTCTCTCTCGAGAAGGCCCCTCGAATCGACATGGACAAAAAAAAAAACCCCCAGTCTCGCTAGTCCTCTTCCTCCCGTGTGCGCATTACGACGCAAAAAAGTGCCCCGAGGACTCTAGCTGGTTGGACGGTACGGCAGACAATTGACGGAGAAGAGGGAGGGGAGGGGGGGTAGGGAATGACGGTCGCTGACGCCCGCCGTCCGTCCGTTCGCGGATGGCGTCCGGTCTGAAAAGTCTCTCGTGGAAAGGCTAGAAGGCAGGAAAATGGTGGCCGCTGTTGTGACACGGTTGGGCTTGGGGTGCTGTGAGAACAGACGTCGGGCGCTGGAGACGTGATGTCTCTCCTCGGCAGCGCATACACGGAGCGCTTGAGAGCTGCGAATGTGGAACAGCACAGCGGCCATTGGCAGCACCGGGCTTCATGAGACGGAGGAGTCGTTGTTCGAGTATTCAGGCAGCATCCTGGACGGGATCCCTGCCAGCGCACCGACCTGACCAAGCCGGTCTCTCCTCCCGGGAGTGTCAGAGCGGACGGGATGTCTTGGTTGGAGCACACCGAGACAAGAAGGCGTCGTGTCTGGTTCAGCGAGAATGAGGTCGCCGTCGCCGTCTCTGTCTCCACCTCGACCTGCATCTCGGGATTTGACAAGGCTACTCATCGCGATAAAGTTGCTCTTTTTTTTTATCGGGTGCGGGTAGAGTATCCGGACGGACAAGTACCGCCACACATTGGCCGCGGTGCCCTTGCGGCGGTAACAAGAATTATACCATGGCGACAATGTGTGTGGTTCCAAGTGCATGAACAACGTGATGCGGTGCGGTAGGAGAGAGAAACAGCGGTTGATGCTCGATATTGGACTGCTTGGGTGGCGTGTGCTTTGGTGTCACTCAGCGGGCGATGAGATGGTACGGGCCGTCTTGGCATAGATGAACGGGCGCCCGGGGGGGGGGGCTGGGCAGGGCTCTCTCTCTCGCCCCTTCTCTCCCCTAAAACGGTTCTACCTAGGGTGCAAAGTGTGTATACCTACATCATGTTACATGCGGCGGATCATCGGTATGTGAGAAGAAAAAAACAAGTGATGAATCAAAAATGTTGAAGTCGTGGACCCCAATAACCAGTTGGTCAAGGTACCGTGCCGCACCGTAGTACCGAGGTAGCTATTTAAGGTAACCCTAAACGTTGAAGGATTGGGGTGTGTGTGTGTGTTCCGTCCGACACGTCAAGTCTTGAGATGGCCCACGGCAGGCACTACCACACCAAGTGAGTAAGACAACTTGGCGGGCGTACTGGCAGTACTCAGTAGGCAGAAAGACACATACATGTATATCAATTATTGGCAACCATTGGTGAGTTGCAGAGGCCGCTATTGGCATTCAGAGCGCCGCTCGGTGCCAACGGCAGTGGCAGCGGGTACGAGCGTACGGGTAGGGTGTCCGCTAGAAGTGAAGCGAGGTTAGGTGAAGAAGGGCATGGAGTGTCGTGAAGTCGAAACGGTGCGGGAGGATGGGGAACGCGAGGTTGGACGACGATGGTGAAGCCAGAGAAGGGGGGGGGGGGCTTCCTGGTGTCAGACCCAGAATGATGCGATGGAAGGATGAAGGATTGATGAAGGGACGGGCATCGGACATGACCTCCGTATCTTGTCAGCAGGCGGTGCAGGAGATCCAAGGAAGCGACATGGACAGACGGGGACGTACCTATGTGGGCGGGCAGGCTCAGGCCGTCGACATGGGGCCATTTGGCGGGTACGTATGTGCAGTACGGATACTACACTAGCGTACGGATAGACATGAGGATGATGAAGATGCAAGAAAAGACTGGAAAGTGTAGCAGTGGTGAGGACGTGCTCTGCAGCATTAGCGTCTAAATGGCTGCAGAAGGAGGCATCGTTGGTTCGGGTTTGGATTTGGTGGGGTGGTTTTCCCCCCCCTTTTTTTCCCCTTCTTCTTTATGGGTTTTTTTTTTTTACGTTTCTCTTTCTTCTTGTGACCCCCTTCCCCTTCTGGAGGGAAGCCTGCCTACCTAGTGGAGAGGATGAGCAGAGTTGCAGTTGGGTGCATGTGCATGTCATTGATGCGAGTTAGAGCCGAATGTAAGTGCGTTAGGATGCTAGGCAAGAACCAAGCCTATGTAAACTACCTAGGCTAGAAGAGGAGGTATGACTGGAGAAAAGGAAAGGGTCCAACCTTCACCTCCCCTTCCTTTTCTCTCCCGTCCTAGGAAACGGACTTGACCCGACCCGACCCAGTCATGCAGGAACTTATCTGGGTTGATCTTCATCCTTATCCGTTTTCTCCTTCTTGACTGCCTCGCTTAATCCACGTCCTCCCGGTCTGGCGCCACTTTCCCCCTTCTGCCCATGCCGTACACCTTGTCCATTCAGGATTCGACTAGTTGATTATATTGGGATACAAGAGAAGTTGAAACAGAGATGGACCGTGATGAGACTCGATGTCTTGTCGGCACGCTCTCGGTGTGGGCTCCGCGCAGGGGGGCAGCAGATATTACTTGCCGGTGGGATGCATATGGCGGTCGGCAAGGAACCCGTAGATTTCGTTGCCTCGCCGGACCAGTCCAACCAGTCCAACCGAGCCTTTGACCGGCCAACACAGCAGCCGACTGGACATCAGCTTGGACTCACCGAGATGCTTCTTTGACCCTCTGTGTGTGTGGCCCTCAATGCAACACACCAAACACACGTTTGCGCGCGCGCCAGGCAATGATCGAAGACGAGAAAACATGAGGCAGGAAAAAGCAAGAAGCGGAAACAGCCTACCCCACCCCGCCTCGCCTATGCTCTTCCTTTCTTGTCGCCGTTGCCGGTCCTCCTTTTAATACTTCGGTTGAATGATTCACCCATGAACCAACACGAGGCGGCTGCTGAGCACTTGTTGAGCATTTCCTAAACACTTGTTAGTTGCCGGAATGTTGCTCGACGCACATCCAGGGTCACGGATAAGGTAAGACAGCTCCAGTCCAAGACCACGGCCAAGCTACCTACCCAGCTACCTTGGTTATGTACCTGAGATGGTCTTGACCCTGTGCCTCGCTTAGGTACTTTGTTGATACCGTTACCCAATGTACGTACCACGCGTATTTTGGACCGTACCTGCCCTACCTACCTACCTACCTACCTACCAAAGCAGTCCATCGTGATCCTCAAACTTATAGGCAGGTAGGACCGGTATGGTAGGTGACTGGTATGCTTCCTTCCTTGAGCCCCATCTCCACTCCCCCCTTCCCACCTTATCGGAGGCTTCGAGAGGTACGTACCTTGCGTTTTCTGCGCCGCTTCGTTGTTGCCCCTCCACTCTCCCCAGGGCCGGCCCCTAGGCTGCTTGTTCCCAAAAGTCTATATCCGTATGCTGACCTCATATCATGATCGAGTCGACCTCAGTTCGAGGCAAGGGTCAGGGTCGAGAAAGATTAAACAAACGTATCATTCTTACACACTGCCCTCGCACACACCGTACGCTCGCTCCTCCTTGCACTCCATTCATGACCCCAACCTAGAATCATCCCCAGTTCAGGTGTTGCAACCCCAGACGCGCACGAATGACTATCACCTGCATCAAGCAATCTCCATCGACT